TGCTACCCGACCCACCACATTACCAGTACACTACTACCCGACCCACCCCACTACCAGTACACTACTACCCGACCCACCCCACTACCAGTACGCTGCTAACCGACTCACCTCACTACCAGTACACTGCTGTGGGACCCACCTCACTACCAGTACACTGCTACCCGACCCACCACATTACCAGTACACTGCTACCCGACCCACCCCACTACCAGTACACTACTTCCCGACCCACCCCACTACCAGTACGCTGCTAACCGACTCACCTCACTACCAGTACACTGCTATGGGACCCACCTCACTACCAGTACACTGCTATGGGACCCACCTCACTACCAGTACACTGCTATGGGACCCACCACATTACCAGTACACTGCTATGGGACCCACCACATTACCAGTACAATGCTATGGGACCCACCACATTACCAGTACACTGCTACCCGATCCACCCCACTACCAGTACACTACTACCCGACCCACCCCACTACCAGTACGCTGCTAACCGACTCACCTCACTACCAGTACACTGCTGTGGGACCCACCTCACTACCAGTACACTGCTACCCGACCCACCACATTACCAGTACACTGCTACCCGACCCACCACATTACCAGTACACTGCTACCCGACCCACCCCACTACCAGTACACTACTTCCCGACCCACCCCACTACCAGTACGCTGCTAACCGACTCACCTCACTACCAGTACACTGCTATGGGACCCACCTCACTACCAGTACACTGCTATGGGACCCACCTCACTACCAGTACACTGCTACCCGACCCACCTCACTACCAGTACACTGCTATGGGACCCACCACACTACCAGTACACTGCTATGGGACCCACCACACTACCAGTACACTGCTACCCGACCCACCACACACCTACCCTGGCTGGGTGGGTATGTAATGCTATGACGAAAACTTATAAATGCCAAATAACAAAATCTCAAAAAATCTTACAAATAAAAGAAACAGTGATTTATACTCTTTGGGAATATTGAAATGTCTTCAGGAAGAAATCCAAATATTCTTCCTTGAAGCCTTTTTATCCACTTCTCCGAGGCTGTGGGTCCAAAAATTTACACCAAAAATAGATCTATATATAAATATAATGATATAAGATAAATATTCCGGAATAAAGTAATGATGAAAGATATTCGGGAAGTAATGAAAGATATTCGGGAATAAAGTAATAATGAAAGATATTCGGGAATAAAGTAATGATGAAAGAGTAAAAATTCTTGTAACTAGAAAAAGATTTATTTTCATTATACAGATACTGATCATTATCATTCCTGAGACCAATTTTTTTCTGTGATTTTTTTTTTCTTTCGTTAAATTACTGTATGTGTGAAATAAATTATTTATCAGTGTTGTGATCAGCAGATTATTGATCATTATATATATTCATGTTAGATTAATTATTATTTGTAGGATTAATACATCAAGTGGAAGACAATGAGATGCGATGCAAGGAAAAAGAGAGTAGCTCCATTTCCTTAGATCAAAAGACCTTCACAGTCGTAATGTCACCCTCTCTAACACCATATTAAATTAAACAGTCAAACAGTTTTACTAAAAATGGCGACGTTATTTATGAAAAAAAAATCGCCAAATTTTCTGTAACAGTTTTGTGATAAATTATTATTAAATTACTTAATGGAAGGTGTTAAAATTTAGCATCAAGGAAACTTAACTATCACAATTTATTATTAAAAGTTGTTTTAATCAATACAAAAAAATATGTTATTGGGGATATTTAACAAGAGAAACATTAATGATACATATTAATAAATCTAATTAATTATGTATATAACACACTTGTGTACATGACATGACAGGAAGAGCAGTTAAATGGCACAAAGAAACTATGGCACCATTTCAGTAAGGAAATCTGCAGTATCAACAAGTGAATGTTAGATCGTTCTCCGATGTTTTTATTTGAGGTGTTTATACTTGCAAACTTCTGTGTACTTCATGAGTCTTCTTGCGTGTACGTGTCTCACCACAGTCATTCATACTCTTACTTGATCCTGGTGCCATGGTAAGTATGGTACACGCATGGAGGCCAAGATTTTCTGGCCATGTTCCAGCTTGGTCTCCAACGTTCAGATCACAGCCTGGTCTCCAACGTTCAGATCACAGCCTGGTCTCCAACGTTCAGATCACAGCCTGGTCTCCAACGTTCAGATCACAGCCTGGTCTCCTAACGTTCAGATCACAGCCTGGTCTCCAACGTTCAGATCACAGCCTGGTCTCCAACGTTCAGATCACAGCCTGGTCTCCAACGTTCAGATCACAGCCTGGTCTCCAACGTTCAGATCACAGCCTAGTCTCTAACGTTCAGATCACAGCCTGGTCTCCAACGTTCAGATCACAGCCTGGTCTCCAACGTTCAGATCACAGCCTGGTCTCCAACGTTCAGATCACAGCCTAGTCTCCAACGTTCAGATCACAGCCTGGTCTCCAACGTTCAGATCACAGCCTGGTCTCCAACGTTCAGATCACAGCCTGTCTCCAACGTTCAGATCACAGCCTAGTCTCCAACGTTCAGATCACAGCGCACCTCCACTGTCTCCAACGTTCAGATCACAGCCTGTCTCCAACGTTCAGATCACAGCCTAGTCTCCAACGTTCAGATCACAGCCTAGTCTCCAACGTTCAGATCACAGCCTAGTCTCCAACGTTCAGATCACAGCCTGGTCTCCAACGTTCAGATCACAGCCTAGTCTCTAACGTTCAGATCACAGCCTGGTCTCCAACGTTCAGATCACAGCCTGGTCTCCAACGTTCAGATCACAGCCTAGTCTCCAACGTTCAGATCACAGCCTAGTCTCCAACGTTCAGATCACAGCCTAGTCTCCAACGTTCAGATCACAGCCTAGTCTCCAACGTTCAGATCACAGCCTGGTCTCCAACGTTCAGATCACCGCCTTGGTGGCCAGCGCCCTGTGAGTGCTCAATGCTTCATGCAGATATGGAATGTTTTCCATTAATTTATTATATTTGAAGCAAAAATTTCTCTCCGTACCTTTCTCACCTTGGCGCAGGAGTTCCATGTATTTCATGCAGACTTCTTACCCTCCCCCCCCCCCCAAAAAAAAAAAAAAGAGGCAGAAATATTATCACAGCCTGGACTGCTTCATTTTTTTTTTGTTCTCCAAATAATTGCTACCGTAACTGATGGTCTTAAGTAAGCTCGGACCCAGTTGTTCGAAAGTCTTCTCCAATAAAGTACTAACATCCTCTCAAAAATCATTCAATAACAGAGTCTGGTCAGGGTCGGCTACAATCCATTTTCTTAAGGCAGATGAATTCTCCGTAAGTCTCACAACGCCTTGGATTCCAAACTCATGGCCATGTTATTGTTTAGCTCAAGGGTCTGGCCAATTGGTATTGTCGGAAACCGTTTGGTATTGTTTAGAACCCACGGGCCGTTCTCCACGAATTCCTTTCAGACAGAGGGTGATGAAGAAGAGTAGGCTTTCCATGTCACGGATGTGCACAGGGATCCATCTGGCAAAGTGTCGGTGATACAGAGCAAATATAGCGTGATACAGGCCATGTAGCGCGGGAAGTCCTACTCCATTTTTAATGTCACTCGAAGTACATTTTCCTGATATTTTTTGAGTGAAAGTTATAAATAGCTTTTGGTTATTAAAATGTATTAGAATGACCTGAGTCACTGGTCTCCAACATAAAATTCATCTATTGGCCATTAACAGGAGAAAAAAAAATATAGTGTTTTTTATCCGATCTGTCTCCATATTCTGAAAATTAGGTGCTACTGTAAGTTGTGTATTATTGGTATTAAAGGTTGAAAATAAAATAATTTTGATGAAAATCCGAGTAATTAAACTTAACAGTAGTAATATAAATATAAATTTACTTCATGTTACATGTAACAAGGGCGTTTTTAGATTATCTGTGGATAATAATCCTCGTAAAATGAAAATCATTTTAAATAACAAATAAAAAGGCACAATACCGTGACTGGAACGATACACAAATAACCCGCACATAGAAGAGAGGAGCTTACCACGACGTTTCGGTCCGACTTGGACCATTTACAAAGTCACAGTGTGACTTTGTAAATGGTCCAAGTCGGACCGATACGTCGTCGAGAGCTCCTCTCTTCTATGTGCAGGTTATTTGTGTATGGATAATCATATTAATAACATCAATTACGCATTCAACATATATTTTTCAATCTGAAATATAAGTTATAATTTCAAAGTTACCAGCAATACTCTTACAGTGGCTGACAGTTGTGGTTCTGCCAGAGAAACTTCCGAAAATTATTCTTGAAAGCACAAGACACCATCACTGTTAATATCAAATCCTGGGTTGAGCCATAACGTGTTGCCGGATGTTTACTGAGAACCCACCACTCTCTTTTTGAGTTAAAACAAAATAAACAATTAATAGTTTTGGTGGTTGCTCAAATATAAACTTAAAAAAATATTATGTATTACATACCACCAAGTTTCCCAGAAGTTTGAGTTCACTTCGACGTTCTACGGCATTTTCACCGCCGTTCCTGTGATTCACTTTTATACTGAACCAATTTCACTTCACTTACTTTCTGGAAGAAAATGTGTACCATGTTCTCCTTGGTACTTTTGACTGGTTAAACTCACCCATAAGATGCGTCTCAAGACGATTCTGCGTCATGATCACTATCAACACAACAGTTTTGTTCATCTTAACCTTACAAGAATTTCTATCAAACCTTCTCCTGTATCCAAAACCAAATTCACTTTTTGAAAATTTAATGGTGAATGTCAGTGCTAAAATATACCATATAAGAAAATAGAACTAAATTGTATATCCTGAAAATGAGAAACAGATTTAACAAATAATGATTCAACAAGATGGGCTGTAAATCTGGGAATCTGTAAAAAAATAAACTTGTACTCAAAACAGTAATCGGCGGAACTCATAAGCTTACAAGAATTTTCAATAAAAACAAAAATCATTATAGCAATATAAGGAGAGATGGAAAAAAAACACTAAAAAATAATAATTGGTAAAATTAAATGGGAACGAAATACGTTATAATTTGCTGTACTGGCAAACTTCGACACAGATTTCACATATTTAGAAAGTAAACTGCTAAACAAATTGTTAACAAAATGCGTTGGATCATAACTAGAATGTGCAATGACAGTAGGATGGTCGCGGTAAACAATGTTCCATATAGCAGAGGTTCACCAGACCCGCCACAACACAATTCTCAGAGTTAAAAAAGAATGTGAAGGTGGAAGACTGAATGTGAATAAAACATTCAGTGAAGATTTTGGCATTTTATTGTGAAGACATTTCTTCCATCTTGATGGGCGAAACGATTTCACAGTAAAATGCTATAACTGTGTCTCATTTACATTGTGTCTCATTTACATACTGTCGATTGACTTTACCACTGGAAGACTAATATTTCTGTAAATGTCGTCGTGGCATTTAGAAGGCTTGCCATTAACGTCATAACTGCCAGTAAGATAATAAAACAGCCATTAATAGAAATAAGAAAAGACCATTACTGTAGACTGTGAAAGAAAAACACTAAAAATATCTCTTCACGAAGACAGAAGACTGACGGAGAGGAATCCAAGAGAAGGTAGCGAGTAATACAGTCACTCAACAATTTCAACAAATACATTACAAACAATACACCGAAAACGGGATGTCACAAAGTTTTTTTTTTCACGTAACTATAAATAGGTAATCACTCTCACGCCAGTCAGTGAGACAGACAGACAGACCGACACACACACACACACACACACACACACACTAGATGTGAATAACAGTACATTTCGCCATGACACTATAGTATAAACGTAATAAAAAGATGAATTACTGAAGCACTCTTCATTATTAACAATGAAACCAGCAATTGAGGTCCAGCAACACTCCTGGCTCCACCCTCACCACAGCAACACTCCTGGCTCCACCCTCACCACAGCAACACTCCTGGCTCCACCCTCACCACAGCAACATTGTACACTGTTGCTAAGGTAACCAGGCTGGGTGTGGGCGTGAGAGGACGTGGTGTTGTAGTGCCAATGGGTGTAGTGGGCGTGGAAAGATGGGGCGGAAGGCCGAGGGTGCCACTCCAGGTGGAACTGAGTGGAAGGAACCCAGCAGCGTGGGTAAGCTCTTGGAAAACGTCTTCTCCAGTGGATGATGGCCGTGGATGGCAGCATCAAGCTTGCTGGAGCAGCCCATGTGATACTCCAGGCCGCCAATGGTTCTTGTGAGTGGCGGTGGTGGCGGCTTGGCAGAAGATGGCGGGGAGTGGCATGTTGACCGCTGCTCCTCGCCGCTCCCGGACCTACCCTCCTCCGTGCCCACCTGATGAGACTCTGGGGTGTAAGGAGTCATGATGGAGGTGGTGGGCGGCGTGGGTGTGGACGTGGGTGTACACATCTTTGATGTAAGCACGTGAAGGGATGAAGTGGTGGTGGGTGGAGCAACGGGCGGGTAGGTAAAGAGGGTGGTTGTAGCGGGCGTCATGATAGGCGGAGTGAGAGGCAGGGGCGGCATGATGGTGCACGGGGTGGGCGTGAGTGTGGGCGTGAGAGCAGCGGTGGGCGCTTCGTGTTCTCTTTCACGGTCTCTCTTGTGCTTAGTGCGACGATTTTGGTACCAAACCTTCACCTGGAAGGTTATACTAAGTCACATTATGTGAAAATATGTGTATGTAATAACAATTGAGACGAAGCAAGTGTGATAATCACCACTAATATAAAACTCTAAGTAAAAAAAAAAGCGAACACCAGTAACAAAATTAACTACCAGAAATATAAGAAAGTGAAAATATTCTTTAAAATCTCTCTCTCTCTTTCTCTCTCTTTTTCTCTCGATGTATATGTCGCGCCGATTAAGCCGAACAGGTGAGTTTGGCCTATTCGGCAAGGTTTGTTCTGTGCCGAATTAGCAGAAAAAAATTTGTTTTTGCCATAAATCCACGAAAATCAATCTGAACATAACGGAAAATAAATCTGTCATTGATTTTAAATAATATTGAATCATTTTAATGTTGCAACGTGGATCTCCTGACCTTGTTGCAACATGGGTCTAGTGTTGCAACATGGATCTAAATTAACTTATGCTATACATAGCAAAATTTAGCTAAAAAAAATTACGTTAATTTAAGTTAGGTGAGGTTTCTAAGTTAGGTTTGGTCCAAAAATAAATCTTTATATCATTGTTAACGAAAAAAATATCTATCATCCTTCAAAATAATTTATAGGAAAAGTTTATTTTAAAGGTTGTTCGATTTATTCGGCATGATATATATATATATATATATATATATATATATATATATATATATATATATATATATATATATATATATATATATATATATATATATATATATGAAAGACGTGATTGCAAAGGTGACAAGAAATATATTCCTAGTTTCAGCTTAAGTGAACATGTAGCTAAAGAGGGCAAAGGTAAATACCAGATAGAAAAAAACTGACCATTCCGTCAGTGTGTCTGTATCAGCGTGTCTCTGCTTCTATATGTTGTGCAAGAAAGGTATAAAATACCGACAATATGAAAGTTAAGACGCATGTGCAACATCTGGATATCTCTATTGTAGACGTTTCGCCATCCAGTGGCTTTATTAATACCTTTCTTGCACAACTTGTCAGACACTGCAACATCATGGAATCTTGGTTCAGAGGACATCTGCAAGACCTTCTTCACGGCTACTACAACTAACCCATCTCTTTGGGTAGGACCTACTTTCACTGGGGAATCCCGCCTACCAGTGACTATGCCCTCGTCTGCTGCCCGTCCCTATCCACTGATGCCTATATAACCGCCAGTCTTCTTGCCTTTGCTCCAGATTCTCCTCCACCACGATGCTGCGAACACTAACTCCAAGGCTGAGGGACTGATTACCTCATCTTTTGTATATAGTTCTACTGTCTTCTAATTATGTCCTAGAATCTGTATTGATAAAGCCACTGGATGGCGAAACGTCTACAATAAAGATATCCAGATGTTGCACATGCGTTTTAACTTTCTGCTTCTATATGTATGTGTATATGTATCTGCTTAACTCTACCTTCCCAAACTTTGCTTATCCCTCAGCACATTCTTTTATTTTGTATTCTTTCATTTTCCTTTGCCTTGTCCTTCAATTGTTTAGCTGTAATTCTCACCTGTGTCTCTGAGAGTCCAAGTCTGGCTGCCAGGAGGGATCTCTCACGACCCACCAGGTACTGGTTACGTCGAAACTCTCGCTCCAGGGCGCTGAGCTGGTCCCCGCTGAAGGTTGTGCGAGCACGCTTGGGGCGGTCCAGGTCCAGCCCCTTGGGGAACACCAGCTCTCTTACCTGCCCGTTGGCGTCTGCAAGGCAATACATGCTGCTGTCAGTTATTTACTGGTAGTTTATATGACAAAATAACACTGGTCTTTTAGTGGTGGTGGTATTGTGGCGAGGGCACCCTAACATGGAGATGCCTTGGCACACGTGTGTAAGTGGCAACAACGATCATTGGCTCACTTGTGCAAGTGTCACCTGTATTCTCACTTACTAGAGCTTACACAAGCAAGAAGTTTGTGCTGACAGTTACACAATACACAAGGCACCCGTAGGGGCAGGGAATAGGGGTACTCCAGTTGATCAAAGTGACACAGCATCGGCCGAGAGTACATCTCGGGTAGAACAAGTAGATAGAAACACAAACAAAAATTTCCTGAAGCAAATTTATCTGGTCATAGACAGGGCCGAGGGGGTGTTGACCCCCGGAACTCTCTCCAGGTATACTCCAGGTATACAACATGTATTTGTTACAGTTACGTTCTTTTATGTGCGGGTTATTTGTGTATCGTTCCAGTCACGGTATCGTGCCTTTTTTGTTATTTATGATTATTAAATACGTCAATAGCACTGCACAAAAAATAAAAATAGAAATGAAATGTGGCTGTAATGGTACATGTGACCCCTTTTTTAGGAAATATTAAGACAATTTTGTTGTTTAAATATAGCCAAAAAAGCGAACTTTTATGGTTAATTTAAAAATATGTGAAATACCGGCATTTATAAAAAAAAAATGTAAATTTGCTTTATACTTAACAGACTGACGATCGATCGTGTGTTGCAGTGGTGTTATTTATGACTGATATTATAGTGATGCTGTCGTATCACAAGTCAGGTTTAATATTCAGTTCTAGAGGGAGAATAGCGACTCTCCACTGCTTTCCTGGAATCTTAGTAGCCCTCCACCATCCCTGGAGAGAACCTAGCAACCTTCCACCCGCCTGGATGACACCTAGCAACTCTCCACCAACCCTGGAAGGAGCCTAGTGTCCCTCCACCAGCCTTTGAGGGAATCTAACGACCCTCCACCAGCTCTGGAGGGAACCTAGAGACCCTCCACTAGCCCTGGAGGGAACCCGGTGACTCTCCACCAATACTGAAAGGAATCTAGCGACATTCCACTAGTCCTGGAGGGAATCTAGCGACTCTTCACCAACACTGGAGGGAACCCGGCGACTCTCACCAACACTGGAGGGAATCTAGCGACCTTCCACTAGCCCTGGAGGGAACCCGGCGACTCTCCACCACCACTGGAGGGAATCTAGAGACCCTCCACTAGCCCTGAAGGGAACCCGGCGACTCTCCACCAACATTGGAGGGAACCCGGCGACTCTCCACTAGCCCTGGAGGGAACCCGGCGACTCTCCACCAACACTGGAGGGAGCTTATCGACCCTCAGAGTGTGTTGTGTTCGTCTCTTAATCCCCTCCTCCATCAGTAAATCAACACTACAACCTTATTTTGTTCGCTTTGTTATCCTCTTAATTTAAGTCACGTTCTTAATTACAGCGGGAGTTGATCCTCTTTGTCTGCTGGCCGGGCTTATTAAAAGACGTTTGATCCTCTTAGCTGATGGAGAGTCGATGTTGGCATTTCTCCAGCCGTTGGGATTACCAGATACCCATCTGTTTCTCTGCGCTGAGGTGCTGAGGACGACGCTTCCACGTCCAAGGTACATTCCTTCGCAACGTTTCTTACGTCAACCTCCCGTCAGCCCTACGTGTTGTTTCTCAGTAATGACGCTGAGAATGAGAAACCGTGATGTGCAAACTAGGATTTATCGATGATGTTTATTCGATTAATGTATGTTGATAACTGTGTGTGTCACTTACATATATGTTAAATATTGATCCAGTATAAATAAAAATTAAAACAAGTGTGTGAATATCGTACATGACTGTTCATTATGGTTGGTTGTGTTTTAAGCCCATCGACTATATGAAGATCATTACGCCTGCTTGTAGCCTTCTCAGTACCAGTCAAGAAGACTTCTGTCCCTGAAAAACAGGAGTTAAACTCTCAATGTATGTACATTGAGAGACACTCTGAGAGACACACTGAGAGACATACACTGAGAAACATACACTAAGTGAGACACACTTTCAGACATACACTGAGTCGTACATCTCGGAAAAAAAGTTGAACCCCAAGAATTTATTAGTATAAAGGTACTGATGAGCCCATATTACACAGCATTACAGTGAAGTCGTAAGGCTCTACGACTAGTCGACAGAGTTGAAGCAAGTAGCTCTCCAAGACCCCGCTGAGCTTTCAAAATTTCTTGAAGACTACAGAAACAAACTGAGTAAACCACTGACTGATCGCAGGGCTTATGGAAGTCCTGTTATTGTGCACATTTATGACTAAAACACCTGGAGTTATAGCTGTATAGCATATTACTGTTGTGGAACACATTACTGTTTTGGAATACGTGAGTTATAACACATTGCTGTTATGCAACACTTGGAGTCATTACTGTATAACATTACGGTTGGCTGGTGTGTCAGATTTAAAACCTGTCGATTACACGATGGCCATTAAAACTGTTTTTAACCTGTTCACCACCAGTCAGGAATTTTTTAATTCCTCAGACTGGGATTAAAGTAAAATCTTAATGAGAAAAGGTGAGGTAATACCGACAAGATGTGGAAAAAGACACTTACGTACAGTTCAGGATATTATTAGAGGAAACGTTTCACTACTAATCAAAAGGATATTATCCATTCTGGAGACCGCTGTAACATAATGTTGACACGTCCTTCTTTAAACCCAACCCATCTCATCACAATTGTGCTACTACTACTACCACTACTACTACTACTACTACTACTACTACTACTCGCAGCTTACCACCTGACTCCTGCTACTATATATCTACGACCCATCCAGATTTCTATCAGATGTCAGTGTTCAACTCACCTCTCCTAAGTCGTTCTGGCACTCGGGCTGTGGCCTGAGTGCCATGAATGGCTCGAAAGGAGTTGAAAGACTCGCCTTACTCTTGTCATAGGGCTACCCCAATCATAGGGCTGTAAACGATACTTCAATCGACACGAATGTTGACTGTGTCCCTGACATAGGGCTATAAATGGTACGTCACGTGTACACGCTACGATACTCCTTTGGAAGCCACTGCCGGGTCACCACATGGAAAAAAACCCGGGCCAGGACCCGTCCTTGCAAACCTACATGAATGAATGAATGAATCTTAGTTATCTCTGTATTACGACTGAAGAATCCAGTCGTGGCGAAACGTTTCCTCTAATTAATGTCTTTCTAAAATCTTAATGTATATACACTGAGAGATATACACACATTTCTCGGAGGATTTATCCTGTTGACCGGAGAAATACATTACTGTATATTTTTTGTGCGTTGCGTCAGCGCAGGAGCACTAGCCTGCCGTGTACTAACCCTAACAAGCGTCATTGAATTCCAACTAGAGTAGTTAGAATTCGAACGACTTCCATCCCTGGTGTTGGAGGCCCCAGGCTTGGTAACCCAAGCCTGGGTAATTATACGCTCCTGGGACAGTCCGGCTTTGATTCGTGGGCCCCACAGACGAGTGTATTGAAAACATTTTCAATACACCATTGCCCATTGTCCATTATCTGTTAAAACCATTAACATTGTGCATAGTTTGAACAGCGGTCGGTGAGCGGTGCTCTTCCCATGAATGGGAACAGAATGGTGGGTCAGGGGACCAGCACTCTTGCCCTCCTTGATATCCATCAATTGCCTCTTACTTATCAAGATGACCAGGCTAAGATACAGCCAGTAGCACCATTTACCTCACTGTGAGACAAGTGGCGTTGCCAGAATCAACGAGGGAGCTGCAAACGGTAGAGAGATTGGGAATTTCGGTGAGAGTTGGCAACGGTTGGGGGCATAAGGCGGCAGATGATACAATAATGGTTCAGTCCCTCCTGAGTGACGCCTCGATGCTCTTTTCTTGACAAGTTTATTTAGAGTAGAGATGCTGCCCGACCGCTGCTACCACCACCACTACTACCACCACTACTGACACCACCACCACTACTGCCACCACTACTGACACCACCACTACTGACACCACCACTACTGACACCAACACTACTGACACCAACACTACTGACACCACCACCACTACTGACACCATCACTACTGACACTACCACCACTACTGACATCACCACCACTGCTGACATTACCACCACTACTGACACCACCACTACTGACAGTACCAATACTACTGACACTACCACCATCACCACTACTGACACCACCACCACTACTACTGACACTACCACCACCACTACTACCACCCCTACTGACACCACCACTACTGACACTACCACCACTATTACTGACACGACCACCACCACTACTACCACCACTACTGACACCACCACTACTGACACTACCACCACTACTGACACTACCACCACTACTGACACTACCACCACTACTGTCACCACCACCACTACTGACACCACCACCACTACTGACACCACCACCACTACTGACACCACCTCCACAACTACGCTCACCAAGACCACCACCTTCACTATCACAATCACCACTACCAGCATCACTATCACCACTACCACCACCTCTACCACCACCACCATCAACACTACCACTACCATCACCACTACCACCACCACCACTTCCACCATCACCACTACTACCACCTCCACCACCACTACCACCACCACCATCTCAACCACACGAGCACTTGCACATCTTCACCATAACCATAATTACACACCCACTCCACCACACAACCACGCCAGCAACAAACGTCTCCAACACTGCCACACAACCTCATCTACTCAGCACTACCAAACCTCCACCGCAAACACTTCTACCCCTCCACCCTGACTACTTCAAAAACTCATCACACCACCACAACCACAACCACAACCACAACCACAACCACATTCACGCTCCCACACCACCACCAACACTCCCACCAACACTCCCACATACCTGGAGTCTGCCTGGAGGTAGTTCCCAGGGTTAACGCCCCCGCTGTGTAGTCGTTG